AAAGAGTTTATTCTAAACCAAGTAACATTTAAAGAGGACAACACATTGGGCAAAGTTTTAATGTCCTCAGTATTGTGGCACTAAGCATACATCTCCTGCTTCCAGATCCCAACCCTTTGTCTGGCACATCCTTCTGTAGGAGCAATGGTCTGGGTGGGAAACCAGACTCTCATCTCCCACTTCATCCTCCTGGGCCTTTTCACCCACTCACCACTGCATCTCTTCTTCTTTTCCATCATCATGGTCATGTTCCTGGTGGCCCTCTCTGGCAACGGGCTCATGATCCTCCTCATCAACATCGACTCCCGCCTGCACAGCCCCATGTACTTCTTCCTCAGCTAGCTGTCACTCATGGACCTCATGCTCATCTCCACCATTGTGCCACGGATGGCCACTGACTTCCTCCTAGGCCATGGCTCCATCTCCTTCACAGGCTGTGGGCTCCAGATCCTCTTCTTCCTCACCCTCCTGGGGGATGAATGCTTCCTGCTGGCCTTTATGGCCTATGACCACTATGTGGCCATCAGCAACCCATTGAGCTACTCAGTGGTCATGAGCCGCTGTGTCTGCTGGCTCATGGTGGCAGGGTCCTGGCTCTTTGGCCTGGTGGATGGACTGATCCAGGCCATTTTCACCCTTCGCTTCCCTTACTGTGGCTCTCAGGAGATCGACCACTTCTTCTGTGATGTCCCTGCCATACTGAAGTTGGCCTGTGCTGACACCTCCCTCTATGAGACCATGATCTATGTCTGTTGCATCTTAATGCTGTTCCTGCCCTTCTCTGTCATCTCCGCCTCCTACCTGCGGATCCTGGTAGCTGTGCTCCACATGCATTCTGCTGAAGGTCGTCAGAAAGCCTTTGCTACCTGCTCCTCTCACATGGCAGTGGTTTCTCTCTTCTATGGGGCTGCCATGATCACCTACATGCGGCCTCAGGCCTACCACTCCTCCAAGCAGGACAAGGTGGTCTCAGCCTTCTATACGATGATCACCCCTATGCTCAACCCACTCATCTACAGCCTGAGGAACCAGGAAGTGGCTGGGGCTCTCAGAAAATTCCTGGGGAGGTGTCCCTGTGGTGGGCGGGCAGGTCTAGGTTGACATTGGCACCTGTGGATGTGGGTTCTGGGGTCTGGGAACTTGAATTAGCTTCTGTAGTTTGACTGGAAGAGAAACAGATGTGCCATACTGAAAATAAGTCATTCCTTGACCAGAGTTCATGGGATTAACACATTAATTCAATCAAGAATGTCCATGCTGAGTATGGACAGTGTAGAAGGAAGGCTGCACCAGTGGGGTTAAAAGAATAGGACACACAGAGCATATGTCCCACAGAGTTAGCAGGTGACAGGTTTCAGCTGTTTACCTCTGCAGGAATTGCCAACAACTGAGGAAAACACCTTGCTCAAGTTGTGCTTCTCCTATGACTAGTTGATACAGGATATAAAGGCTTGGTTACCTTCCCTCAGTTTGACCCTGAATGTCCATCCCAGCTCCAGGACTCCCTGTAATATCTGAAGCATTACAGACTACATATCCCTGTATCCAATTTTGCTTCCTTATCTCCCTTCTGTACCATGAATTCAATCCTTACAGCACTCTTTAATAAACCTTCCAACATGTAAAACTTGTCTCAGTCTGCTTCCAGGAAACCTAACCTGTGACACATGGAAATGAATGATGGTAAGTTAAAGTCATGTTTGCTAGATATGTTCATGTACATGTGGTCAAAATAAAATGTGGACACAGAAAACTTTGTTGCTTGGTGGTATCAGAGGGAAGTCACAAAGTTTCCTGAAGACACATAAGACAAGTTTAATGCAGGGGTGGCAAATGCAAATACCAACACTTCCAGACAGGGAGTGTCAATGAGGAAAGCCATCTGGTGGGCCACTTGGCCGCACTGCTGCACAAAGTCTGGTTGAGCTTTGAGTCAGGAAAAGATAAAGTGCAAGTTTGATAGAAGCTGGAAGTTCACCCATGGATGGGCCTTACAAGTTGACCCAGAAGCAGCATTAAACAGCGGGCAGGACAAAGAAGAGAGGAAGGTATGCAGAGCAGAATGCCAGCCAGCCACAGAAGGGCTCTGACATGTTTCCAACCTCTCCATGAGGTCCAGTAAGATGACTCTCAGATCCCCATCTCTTGTCCTGAATTCAAAGAAAGCCCTAGGAAACCTCCCTGGAGTTCTATGCCCCAAGAGAATCTTTTGCTCCTGTTATTCTGTCCTTTATTTCCACCCTGACCCAGTGGAAAATACTGAGAAGTGAACATAACTGAACAGAAGGACATCTCGTTGTTGAAGGTATGTTGTTCTCAAGCTCTCCTGTAGCTGCACAGCACTGGCTCAGTTCTGGGGTGAGGGCGTCCTAAGCTCTTTAACAGGAGGAAACCTGGGAAAAGTTAGATGGGACCTAACAAAGACCTTTCCACTGCCTTTTCCTTCCCTGTGTTTCCACTCAAGAAAGCAAATAACAAAATAACAAGATAAAATCTTGGTAGAATCACTAATTGTCAGCACTTTGTTTAAATGAAAGACCTGAACTGTGATTATAATCTGAACAGCCTACATTTGAGAGAAACAAATATTACGGATATGACCTTTTTTTTTTTTTAGTTTTAATTTTAATTCAAGTTGGTTAACATAGTGTTATATTAGTTTCAAGTATAAAATATAGTGCCTCAACACTTCCATACATCGTTCTGTGTTCATCATAAGTGCACTTCTTAATCCCTCTCACCTATTTAACCTATCCACCCCACCTCTCTTCTCGTACCCATCATTTGTTCTCTACAATTAAGCGTCTGTTTCTTGGGCACCTGGGTGGCTCAGTTGGTTAAGCGACTGCCTTCGGCTCAGGTCATGATCCTGGAGTCCCTGGATCAAGTCCTGCATCGGGCTCCCTGCTCCGCGGGGAGCCTGCTTCTTCCTCTGACCCTCCCCCCTCTCATGCTCTCTCTATCTCATTCTCTCAAATAAATAAAATCTTTAAAAAAAAAAAGTGAAAAAAAAAAGTGTTTCTTGATTTGTTTTTTCCCTTTGCTCATTTTTGTTTCTTAAATTCCACGTATGAATGAAACATACAGTATGTCTTTTTCTGACTTATTTTGCTTAGCATTATACTCTCTAGCTCCATCCATGTCATTGCAAATGGCAAGATTCCACTCTTTTTTTATGGATGAATAATATTCCATTGTATATGTATGCCGTATCTTCTGCATCAATTGATGCATTCATCAATGGGTGGACACTTGGGCTGCCTCCATATCTTGGCTATTGTAAATAATGCTGCTATAAACATGGGGGTACATGTATCTCTTTGAATTAGTGTTCTTGTATTCTTTGGGGTAAATACCCAGTAGTGCAATTGCTGGGTCATATGGTAGCTCTATTTTCAACTTTTTGAGGAACCTCCATACTGTTTTCCACAATGCCTGCCCCAGGTTGCATTCCCACCAACAGTGCAAGAGGGTTCCCCTTTCTCCACAACCTTGCCAATACCTGTTGTTTCTTGTTATGCTGACTTTACCCATTCTGACAGTTTTGAGATGATATCTCACTGTAGTTTTGATTTGCATTTACCTGATGATGAGTGATGTTAAGTGTCAGTTGGCCATCTGTACGTCTTTGGAGAAATGTCTATTTATGCCTTCTGCCCATTTTTTAATTGGATTATTTGGTTTTTGGGTGTTATCTGTTTTTTTAATATATTTTGGATATTAACTGTTTATTGCATGTATCATTTGCAGATATCTTCTCCCGTTCCATAGGTTGACTTTTTGTTTTTGTTATTTCCTTTATTGTGTAGAAGCTTCTTATCAAGATGAAGTTCCGATAGCTTATTTTTTTGTTTCCCTTGCTTCAGGAGACATACGTAAAAAGATTTTGATATGGTCAATGTCAAAGAGGTTACTGCCTGTTTCCTTTAGGATTTTGATGGATTCCTCTCTCACATTTAGGTCTTTAATCCATTTTAAATTTATTTTTGTGTATGGTGTAAGAAAGTGGTCCAGTTTTCCCAAAACCATTTATTGAAAAGATTATCTTTTTCCCATTGGATATTCTTTCCTGCTTTGTGAAAAATTAATTGACCATGGAATTTGGAATTTGGGGCTCATTTCTAGGTTTTCTTTTTTGTTCTACTGACCTATGTGTGTTTTTTGCCAATACTATACAGTTTTTTTTTTTTTAAGATTTTATTTATTTATTTGAGAGAGAATGAGAGACAGAGAGCAGGAGAGGGAGGAGGGTCAGAGGGAGAAGCAGACTCCCTGCCGAGCAGGGAGCCTGATGTGGGACTCGATCCTGGGACTCCAGGATCATGACCTGAGCCGAAGGCAGTCGCTTAACCAACTGAGCCACCCAGGCGCCCAATACTATACAGTTTTGATCACTGCAGCTTTGCAATAACTTGAGGTCCAGAATTGTGATGCCTCCAGCTTTGCTTTTCTCTTTCGGGATTACATGGTCTATTCAGGGTGTTTTGTGTCCCATGTGTTTTCCCAGCAAGTCATTCCTTTGCTCCACTACAGAGTAACACAAATCTAAACTGCTTCATAACCTTAACTCTCAGAGGCTGCGACTGAAGTACTTCCTTCCTTCCTGTGATGTGGAAACTGATGTTCCAGGATTTCAAAACTCCTCGGTGTGAAATTAAAAATTAAATCCTCAGGCATCAGAATTCCTAGTTCTGTTTGTGACTTGCCAGTTAGACTCAATCTTAAATAAAGTGTGCATGTGGTTTTATTAAACAACCTGTCACGAGGGACAAACCGGACGCCTGCTACAAACGCTACTTAGTGCCACCGAGACAGAACACAGTTCTTAAAATTTAATGGAATTCCAACAGTAAACATTTTCCTGTGGGTTCTGGTTTCCAATACCTGTCTACTATTGGGAGTTAATACTTATTACCTGTTCAACAATTACAGAAAAAACTTTATAAAGTTACGAAAAGTTTTGAATTTGAGGTATATAAAGAATATTCATTAAGAATAAGGTAGTCAAGGTTTTCTTTTACTCAAAAAAAATCACTTCAAAGAGCTGACCTCCATGTACAAAAGACAAGATCAATCACATTTATCACTGGACACAAAGAATATTCCAAAGATCTTTAAAAATGGTAATTAATCTCAAAAAGGAAAATTAACTTTAACTTTTATAGTTCATTATCAAGACCATACTTGCTTAACAAGGTAATTATGCTATTGATACAAAACATACAATATTTACATTTAACTGTACAAAATAATTTAATGTTTACAAAAATATTAGAATGTTTAGAGTTGACTGACACAGTCTTAAGTAATCTCTTCTAGAGAAGTATATAGTAAGACCACTGATTTCCATTTCATTTCTTGTTTAATAAGTCAAAGAAAGGATGCTGCAAGGCTTCATCCAAGGTGATTCTTTTCACTGGGTCGTATTCTAACATTCTTCGTACCAGGTCAAACAGTTTCTCATGTTCTTCATCATGACAAAGCATAAATTCCTGGGGGAAAAAATGTCTGTTTAAAAAACAATTTAAAAATAACTTTTAAAAACATTTTTTTTAACCACCTCGGATCTTTTCTCTTTTACCTTTAATGGTTTGCAGCGTCTCCTAACATATCGGCCGGCGGAACTGTGTTCATCCCAGTCTAGCTGGTTATGGTGGAAATACTTGCGCTTTCTACAAGAAAAAGAAGTCTGGGTCGGTAAAAACAACAGAAGACCCACATGTTTACCCTACCCCCACTGGACCAAATGGAAGCATGGGCAGCTCTGCAGACACACACACACACACACGCATACAATGTTTTCACATCTCTGCAGTTACGTATCAGGTACTTTAGGTTACATCTCCCTCACTCTTGCACCCTCTGAGGTTTTAGTGGCCCGCCTGAGTGGCTCGTAAATACCATGCATGGAACAGTGTCAGCCTCTGGACCCAGTCCCATGAGTTCAGACTGCACTAGATCTGGGATGGGGTGGTGAAGCTTTGTTTGCAAACCACTCTAGTATCTTGTCCAAAGGCAGACATCTAGCTAGCAGTGGTATGGAATACAAACAGATCAACAGGACTCCAAAATCAAGCTCTTTTTACTACTCTCTGTATTATGTTTTTATCAAGTTAGGAAAACATTTACGCAAAAGTTAACCTGAGTGTAAAAACACCATACCTTTGTTTACTAAATCACAAGGTAAATACTGCATTACTTTTTAAAAATTTGACTTCATGGAAAAAAAAATCTAAATCGAAGTCCTTGGGACAAGCAGTAACAACGAAGTTGGGTTTTCTGTAGTTTGAATACAGGGCCTTGTACGTACCTTGTTTTCTGAATCATGTGTGCCGGTATGGGTCCTAATATTCGTTCCATCATTGCCAGGTGCTCTTTACTATCATGAGTCTAAAATACATAAGAAAAACGAATTTAGCACTTTCCCTTGTGCTACAAGCACAATAAAGGAAAATACCAGAAAACAGCATTGACAACAAAGGGCTAGATTAGACAGCTGCATGGCTGATACTACACTCTACTTCAAAGACGGAACAATACTGAGTGAGCTGTATTCTCCGTGCAAACCAGTAAAATTGAAGTCTTTCTGAAATCCAACAGTAAGGTTCTGTATAGCAGAAGACATGGACTTTAATGCGAAAATGAACATTTTCCTTATTTATTCTCATTTCTTGCAACATTTGTTAAAGAATGACTAGGGAAAAGTACCAGAAAAATGGTCTCCTCACTTATTCAGCTGCTGACCCCAAACTGGCCTCCATTCACCAGTGAATAGCAACATGTTGACATCTACTATTCCCAGGCAATAAAAATAAAGGGCCAGTAATTCTCACAACAATCCTGAGCTCCGTATGTGGGAACGTGCGTGTCCAAGAAGCTGAGATACTAGCTCATAAATGAGCAAAGGTGAGTTGTGGATCTAAGTAAAAACTTGTCACACAGGAGCAGAGCTCTGGCCCAAGTAGGGGAGAGACCCGCACACTTACAGCTGAGATAGTGAGCTCCCTGATCAGAGGCTGGCGGCTAACTTTTGTGAAGGTCCAAACAGTAAACATTTTAGGCCTACCTGGCCACAAATGGTCTCTGTCACATTCTTTTTTAGGTAGTCATCAGGCAGAACATCATTTGCCAACTCTCAAGTGTGAAGAGCAGAGGCTGTGTGCAATGCCTTTTAAAATCTATCAACTACTGTTCCTAGCACCTCGCTTCCAACATGCGAAGTCCCTAATCCATGACAGGAGGAGGTAATACTAGCTCCACTTTTATCTTTATGTTTTTAAAATACCACAAGTGAGTCTGAAAGATCATCCGGCATCTTGCTGTTTCTGTAGCTTGACAACTTAGATCTTACTCATCAGCCTGCTGAACTGTTCCTTTTTCCGAATCATAGATACCACCTCCGTATTTTCTGATATCCTTGTTTTTTAACTGTTGTGGGCTTGCTGAATCAAAGCAGCTCAATTTGATACAAGTTCAGTGTCATTTCCTTCAAGAATTAACTCATCTTTCTGGGCTTGAGAGATACTGAACAATCAACACCTGGCCTCATCCAAACCCTGCAGGCATATTTTTCACCCAAGAAATGTCAGATTTCAACAAGAAAACCATTCTCTTAAGTAACAATGCTGATGGGGAAATGAGCATACACACACCTCATCTTGTAATGGAAGCCCAGTCTAACACCCTTGCTCATGTTCTGTACAGGACTACAGACAGAAAAGAACTGGCTACGGTTCACACTATTTCCCCATCATTTGTCAACCTGGAATCTTCTCCTTCTTTCCAAGGAGACGGAGTTCTACACTGATGTGACTGAAGTCCCTTTGCAGGGTTCCTCTGGGGCTCTACAATAGTGCATCCCTTCGGAGTGATGTGGACATTTTCTGGAATGTCAACTGTCTGACTACTAATGGTCTTCCTTCTCGCAGTAGGTGCAGCTAAAAGCTAGCTCCACATTTTAAAAAAATTCCTTAGTTGAAGAGTATTTTGGAGGGTGGAACTTAAAACAGAAAACATGTCTCAAACCAGTGTTAATAATCTGCACTTAAGACCTCAGAGTGATTTACAATCACAAATCATGGGAAGCAACTTATTACAGGTGTCAGAAGGAAGAAGACATCACTCTGCTCAACTTTTCCTGGCCCTCAGCTTACCGCCACAAACCAGATATACCACCTCCAGGAACTGACTGGTCACCATGGTTCTAGATATCAAACTTGTCTATAAACTCAGGGTACTTTTAACAGGATCTCTGTGGATTAGCAACAGGAGACAGCTGGTGATGGGCCCCACAAGCAGAGAACACATTCTACAAGAGCCAGCACCCAAGTGACTCTGAACTCCTCACACTCCCCACCCCCGCACCCTGCATCGCCCCCGAAAGCAAGTCACCCTCAACAGTAGGAGCCAGAATGTGCCAAACTTGGACCCCCACCCCCCTCAAAAGAGATCACGACACTTTGAGCACATCACAGCCCTACTTCCAAGTTCTCCAATGCTCGCACAACCTAAACCTTTTAGAAGATGGTTAGATTTCAGATGTAAGTAGAACTATAAGGGAAGAAAGTAGAGACTTAAATAAGGTTTCCTACTTTGTTTTGCCAAGTAAGGACTTTAATTTTAAAAATCAACTACCAACTATTATCATCATTCCATAAAAGGCACAATTTAGTACCAAAAACAAAAAACCTGGAGGAATAATCTCTAAATAAAGGCCAGAATGACAAACTTACAAAATCATTTCCACACTGGGTTAGCCTACATTCTGGAAAACACTAACTTCTAGGAAACAAGTTCCTTTCTATCCAAACAAGTCCATTAGTCAGTCCCTGCATCATTTCCCCATTTATGCGAGATACTCTGACAGCACTGTTTACGGTTCCCCGACTAGAGTATGTTCTTTTATGCCTCTATACGTTAATGGGTACAATTTCTTCTTCCTGAGCTGGCTGCCACTCTCTCTAGTTTTCTGACAAACCCCTCATCTTCCTTCTAGCACTGGCCTAAACTCCTACACCTCCACAGTGGTGCCTTGTCAGAGGAATGTAACTGTCCATTTTTCCTGGGTTCCCACTACGCTTTCTACATTGTTCCATAATAGCAAATACACCACACTGTATTGTAAGCTCTTCCACATCTCTTTTGCACGAATTCCTTGAGGACAGAGATGTTGTCTTTTCATCTTTATACACGTAAGAGCCTTGAAATGTGCCTAGGGGGTCACAGATGCTTAATACATAAGCATAAAATACCACTTATTGTTCCTGAATTGTTTTATAAAAAGGAATAAGTGACTTGTTCATGGCCGTGCTGTCAACATAACCAGAACGGAATTAAAACTGGCCACAGTTAACACTAATATAAACTTATGCAAGAGCTCAACAAAAAAATGGGAACACAATATGAACTGTGTGTTAAAAACTCCAATCACATGCAAAATGGACTATGACCATTCACCAAAAGTAGTTCACCCAATTCCAGTTTTAGAGAAGGATGACCATTTTCCACATGTAAGTTTTAACCTTAAGAAGAACAACACTACAGCAACTTGTCAATATGGAGGCCAAAATTTTCACGTCTTTAATACTGAAAAAAAATTATGAAATGGTATTTACTAAATACATACCTGAAAGACTGTGAAACCAAGGTAATATTCAATAAGAATGCAACCTATGCTCCAAACATCACAAGGCTGGGACCAACCTAAAGCTGTAAAAACAAAAACACACAACTTGGTTTTTTTGTTTGTTTTTAATTAATTTGAGAGAGAGAGAGAAAATAAGAAAGAAAGCACAAGTGGGGAGAGGGAGAGGGAAAAGCAGACTCCCCACTGAGCAGGGAGCCCGACGCGGGGCTTGATCCCAGGACCCTGGGATCATGCCCTGAGCCGAAGGCAGACGCTTAACGACTGAGCCACCCAGGTGCCCAAACTATAGTATTTTTTTAATGCAAGAAGTAAACTCAGGCTTTACGCTGATAATAATTGATAAGTGGTTAGTAATTACATTTTGAGGATGATTGTCAACCTGTATCTGCTATAAAAATATAAATTTTCCTGGAATAACCATGAACTGGGTGTAACCATGCTCCCCATTGCATACAGTTCTGAGACTATGGAGTATTTGTACAAACTGGTAGTTACAGGTGGGAAATACTTGCTAGTCCCTCTCTTATTTTACATAAAATGCCCCCACCCCCAGATTAAAGCACTGACTTCCTGTAAGGATATGGAGAATTATGAGAACATACTGAGTGACATTTTATATAAAACTAAAGATGTAAACCCTGAGTTTACTGTCCTGTTCTCCCAAATGGGCGAGGTGAAAAGAGCACCCATATGGGGAAGGCTGTAGTGGCAATTAAAAATTGTTGCATGTACAAGTGTGTGTTTGTGAATGCTGGAGAGGTTGTGGAGACAGGGGAA